AAAGTAAGTAAACAAAAATATCATTTCGTCCAATGTTAGAGAGAAATGTACTTAGAAAGTGTATCATTTTAAGAAACCGATTAAAAACAAATCTATAATAACAAATTTGTATCGGGATGTATAATTATGTTGACGTGGTTTTTTACACTAACGCAAATATTATTGTGTTTACTGTTTTTCTTGTTAAAATTCATTAGGTCACCATACCTTATTTGACAGGTAGCACGTAATTTTACTTGCGTTTTATACGTTATTTCATTTATTAACAAATGTGTTTCACAAGGACAAGGTGAAGGCTAATGAGGAATTAATAATTCTAGATACGTACCAGTTTAGTTACTGTTGCTTTCACATGGTTCCAAAATAAAAGTAATTAAAAATACAAAAAATTAGAAACAAAACGAAACAAAAGTTTTTTACCATATTCCTACCGAATATACGTAATATAACTTCGGGGACGATAACTTGGTCCAATCCAAAGCATGGCAAATGCCTAACTTGTCACTTCGGCCCAGTCGTGATTGACAAGCTTAGTCCACGACAGGGCACTAATGTCAATATCAATGAACAAAATTAATCGTATGTACTATCAGACATAACTTGGCGAAAAATTAATGTACCAAACTTTGACTTGAAGATTGTCCAATCTTTGCTCCAGTATTGACAAACCTATACTTGGTTATCCATTAGCCGAACATCATCATCATAAGGTCGTCAGTCCTAAGACTGGTTGGACACGCACCTCCACTCTTCCTTATTCTGAGCTAATCTTCACATTTCCCTAAAACTAGAACAACCCACATCCTTAACTATTTGCGAACAGTAATCTAATCTAGGTCTACCTCCTAACTCCCGTTTCTGCATCTAATATGTCTCTGACTAGACCTTCATGCCTGAGAAGGTGTCCTACCAACCTATCTCACCTATTTCTTATTGACTTCCCTAGAGTCCTCTGTTCTATTTTTTCTAATACATCTTCATTTCTAACCTTCTCTATCCACGGTATCATCATCATTCGCCTGTAACACCACATTTCGAATGCACAACATTGATCTAATATTGACAAGTCAATACTTGATTTCCCACTAATGGTCCAGATTTTCCTACATAGGTTCTTACCTAAAATATTATGTTACCCTTTATCCTCCCTAAAATCAGGAGAAACAGTACATTCGGGACAGGGATGCACAAAATGAAGGGATATTGTACAAAATCGTATTATCGGAAATATTGTAGGACACCCCCACCCGTAAGTTTATCTTCATCGTCTTCGGCTCGGGGGGGGGAGTTCATACCCGGTAGGAAATACTGTACTTCCCTTGGTTTTTTTTTTTTTTTAATATGAACTGTTATTTCTGTAATATTTTCATTAAGAAAATCTGTATCAAATCACACACAATTTTTTATTTATTTAAAAGATTCAAGATCTGGTTTTCCCAATTCTTTGCGCTAAGAGTTAAACCCATCTGTTATGGATCATAAAAATTGTAATATTCCAGTAAACCATCGTGCATTATTAATTTATAAAAGAATAATCTGGAATGTAACGGTAATTAACGAACTTGATCACTTCACTCCTTTTTAGGTACTTTATTTCAAGCTAGCCTTGAATCGTCCTGTATATAAAAAATTCTTGTTTCATACGTCAGATGCGGTAGTTGAAATGATAAAGACTTGCCCATAATAAATAAAACTTACCTGTAAGTATAAGAGCTATGGGAACCCGACCTGCTTAAATAAGAAGAATTAATATATTTAGATGGTACAAACACACTGTTTTATACCGAAAAGTGGTACATCTTTAATGTCACTATAATCATGTACGGCGTTTTTAGTATCGAGATCTCTTTTAAGTCGGATTTCAATTACAAACATCTAACAATATAATAAGTTGTTATTACCGTTAATTATATTACCTTTAAACGTTATAAAAGAATAGTGTGTTGAACTGACGTATGAGAAAAAGGAAATTCTCTTCAGTCTAACTCCAAATAAGATTATACGTAAACGTGACAGACGCCTTTTCCATAAAAGGAATCGTCCACTTTACCTGACGATTGATGACGAGGAATGAAAATATAATATGCACACACGTGTATTATAGCCATGTGTTTTTGTACGCATACATGTATACTTGTATACTTATTATGTAAATTCATTTAATTACTATACTGTATATCTTGCCTTTTTATACGGTTGTATATCATGAACGAGTGCAGAGATAGGATTTTTCATTTGGATGAAAGAATAAAAAGGCCAAGGCATATTGCTAATAATGAATAAATCGAAAAAAAAACTATAGAATAATCTTCAAAATTCTTAAACTGGTCAGAAAGGTACGCCATATTAAAAAACAAAAAACGATTTTTTTGATATACAAGTCGATTTATTTCAATTTTTACACCTTTGAAGCAAAATATTCAAAAATTGATTATAAACTAGGTAAAATTACAGTTTAAAAAAATCACTATTGTGACTAAATTTTAACGGCTTATAAATCCATAAACATAATTGATATATTAAATAATATTAATTTGAAATCATTTTTTCGATTTTTTTATTTACCCACTACAAACTACCTCAAATTAATGAAGAAAAAAACGAAACTGCCTCTCCATAATATGATATGAAAATAAATCCATAAGGCAACACAACTACAGTTTTTGTTTCTGTGGTATCTTTTATGAATAAAGCTGCACAAACATTTTCTTCCTGTTTATCCCTTATAAGGACCACATCAATCATTTGCACCCAAGCCAGTTGTCACAGCCTTTAGCGACAAACCAAGCCAGCCATGTACAGTCCAAGTGTCCAATTTTGGTACAAATTTATTGCTTTCCGTCTTTAGTGCTTTCGTGTTATGTATAATNTTTAATATTCCCTCATTTATTTGAGGTAGTTTGTAGTGGGTAAATAAAAAATCGAAAAAATGATTTCAAATTAGTATTGCATATTAATCCACTATTAAGTAACTAATAATGTCATAGGATTTCATATATTTAATTATTTTAAATAGTATTTTCTGACATTCTTGACAATGTCATTAACAAATTCCTTCCATAGTGACAAATACGAAAATTGTCATGATGAAAAATAGAAGAGGTAAGACGCGCCGTAGTTACTCCCTTAGCACACCCGCATAATTAATAAATAAAAGCACGTCTTACTGATGAAAAAATTAAGTAAAAATACCATGTGAACTAATTACTTCAGTGCCACTGGCACAAAAGAGACCGTTCTGAATAATATTTCACCTGACAAATAAAACAGAATTAACTTTTCATTCGGTCATCAATGAAAGTATTATTAACTTATTTCCGTTGCAAAATCGAAACGCTTTTAACCTAGGGCGAAATGGCTTCTTGTCGGAGTTTCCTTGCTGTTGGCCAAATATCGACTCATTGCAGCTTTCTTGCCAATTTTCTCCAACTATTATGCAAAAATAGCATAATGCGTATTGTCGACGTGATTTGAACACATCGATTTGTGTAACCACACTTCTGTAAATTGTAAAAAGGGAGATGTACATGTAGATATTCGAAATGTAGTTTTACAGTGGATAGAGAAGGTTTTCAGCCATGAGACATATATATTAGAAACAGGAGTTAAAATGGGTAGAGGTAGACAATTACATTATTGTTCCACAGTTAAAAATGTGGGATGTTCTAGTTTGAGTAAAGCGAAGGACTGACAACCCTATGATGATGATGATAATAATGACATATTATTACATCTTGAGTTACATTACCAACAAGTTAATAACCAAACAAAGGGATATTCTATTACATATAATCATCAAACAAAGGCATGTTACGTGTTTAAATAATATAATACTTGCATATACGATACAATACGTAAACACTACTCCAAAGTTTCGTCTATTATATTTACAACTTCTTTTAAAAAAAGATTACGTACGCATGAATCGACAGAGGAATTAAGTCATTCGAAATTTTTGAAAAACGAAAAAGTTTCATTTTATTTGTCAATTTTGTTGCGTGACTGAAAGTTCGCACGTGCTTATTCATTCGACGATTCGACCGCATTTTATTTTTGTATAAATTAGTAATACGAAAAGCAAAACAGTAAACAGAAATCCTCCCACCTATATTGAACCACGACCAACGCAAACGCTAAAAGGGAACGAGATGTGAAGCGTTACACAGCGCATTTCTTACCTCGTACAGCTCTAGTATTTTCTCGAAAACGGCCAGAAAATTCTACCCCCACTTTGATCCCTTCTTATATAGGATTCGGACGCTCTTTATTCGGTTTGAGTCGATAGAAATCGTTGAGCGACAAACGTCCGTCTAAATACTACCAAGCGCGCAAAGTAATTTGAAAAAGTTTCAAGTCAACACGTTTAAAAACTCTGTGAATCAAGAAGTGTTTCTTTTTTTTTTTAATTTTTTTGTAAAGAAGTTTGTGTCTCAGTTTGTTTATTGTAAAACTTGTATTTGAGCCTAAGGGCTCAGTGAAAACATGGAATCTCCAATAATGGTAGAAAACTTTGCGTCTATACCCATTAGGGTAGAACATACCAATGGTGGAAATTACCACCCTGAACCTATGGAAGTAGATAATGTAAGTTTTTCCCTTTCCATTTTTACCTTTTCACCTAGTAAATGTTTTTTAAGATTCTTTTTTTTTTTAATTATATTAATATCCCTTGTATGATATTGTGGTTTTTGTTTTCATATGAGTACGTAGTCATTTCACCGCTTTTCTGCTTAAAAATCACGTGCATGTAAAAGTTTTGCTGGTACTAATTACATTAAGCAAGTAACAATAATTTTGCCTAAATGCATGTAACTTAAGTTTTACAATACCATATATGTATTTTATTTTAAATGGAGAACCTTTAGAATCAGATAAAGTCAAAAATTAACCATGTTTTAGTCACTACTCAAAATTCATACCAAAATATCTATTTTTTTTTTCTTAATTTGGAATACAATTTTTCGATAGATTCCGTCTTAATTTATTATTGTATTTTATAGAGCGGCTTTCCTTTCGACGAAGCTGACTTTGATAGGAGTGACGCTTCATTCAAATCACATTTAGATGACCTAGCTAAGAGGCATCCCGAAATCGCCCAACATTTTAACAAAGAGTTCCCATTTCGGTCAAACACCTGGGGCCATAAAAGACGTGGCTCTTCTTCTGGCAAAGACGAGCCAAAACCGTCTTTTCCCACGGATGACTTTCCAGATTTAAAACGCTTCACAGATCGACCATTTGGATCACGATTCGAACGTTTTGGTTTTCCTTTCAATAGGACATTCGACGGTGAACCCCATTTTCGACAAGAGTTTCAACAGCCAAGTAACGAGCAACCAAGTGGTAGCTCACAAAGGCAACAACAAACAAGCAACAATCAGACTCATCAGCAACCCTCGACATCTTCAAACGAATCTCGCCCAACCGAAACTAGAGCTCAGGAAAGTTTTGACAAGCCTCCTCAAGTTCCTAATCAAGATAGGGGTCGCAAACAGCACCCTTACGTACAACAAAGTAATACGACCGATTTAGGCCAGAAACAAGAGGCTGTGAATGAACCACGAGGTCAAAGATCCATGTCTGCTCCTCCAGAAAACAGATCTAACCATCCGCGGTACGTGTCGAGCATCAACATACCCATTAATGTTGAGAGAGGGGGCGATGGAATGGGATCTCAGCAGTCACAGCAGCATCAGCAACCTCAACAACAACAACAGCAATCACAACCAAATAATCAATCTCAAAATCAGTCCACCCATGAAAGGGTGATACCGATTATGGTAGAAGGTCGTGATGAACCTGTGATACCTAGAAATGTGCATCAGACGTTCTCCTCCCCTCCAAAACCTGAACCAGAAAGGGTTTTCAGTGGTGCGAGACCAAGTCAGTTTGCAGGATGGCCCAGGAACGACACTCATTTCTTCAGAAATGACCCTTATTTTCAACAGCCACCCTCCTACCAGCATCACCAACAACAACAACAACATAAACCCCCTGAGGAACCTTTTAAACAACAACATGTTCCTCCACAACACACTGCTGCTGCTTCCCCTCCACCTCAACAACAAAATCGGCAGCCAACACCTCCCAAACAAGAACAAGCTCACTCACCAACTCCTCCTCCCTCAAAACCACAGGGTAAGCTTACACCTATCGAACAGATCGAAGCAATCCAAAAAGATGTAGCTAATCTCATGACCCAAATTGAAAACTTCAATGGAAAAACGAAAGACAAACAGTACTTGTATTTGGATGAGATGCTGACAAGGAACCTAATTAAACTTGATGATGTACAAACTGATGGTCAAGATGAACTGAGGCAAATGCGAAAAGAAGCTATTAGAAGCGTGCAGCGATGTATCAGTGTACTAGAGTCTAAAGTATCCTCAGACAAAAAGGAACAAGAGATGGATGTTGAACAAAATAAGAATGAAACTAACCAATCTTCTGAGGAACAAACCATGGAGGTAGAAAAAACAGAACAACAAGTGAAGTCAAATGAGGAATGTAATACTCCTGTAACCAACAAAGATCACCAGAACCCTAGTAATGATGAGCAAAATAAGACAAATGAGGAGTTAACTGCCTTAGAAGTATCAGGAAAGGCAAGATCTGGATCAGAAGTTAAAATCATCGAAGACAAGAAAGAGGGGTCCCCAATGGACGTCAATGTGGAAAGTGATTCAAAGCCCAAAACTGAAGAAAACACTAACAATAAACAAGAAACGAGTGATATAAAAACAGAAGAGAAAAAAGAAGAAAGCGCGCAAGATAACAGTGTTGTTGAAGTAAAAGAAACAAAAGATAAAAAGGAGGAGAAAAAAGATAAGAAAAAAGTTAAGAAGAAAGAGAAAAGTGAAAAGAAGTAAGTAAATACTAGTCAAGGAAAAGAAATAGTTATTTGCCTTTGAAGAAGCTTTTCGCTTTTTAGTGTAATATTATTGTGAGTTTGTGTTTTTGTTTTTTATTTGATTGTAATATTTTATTTATAACTTAAGGATTCCAGTATGTGCGATTGTGAAGTTGTCGTTTTGATTTGACCGTCCAGTTATGGTTATTTTTTCAGCATTTTATACTGATTAGTCAGTATTGTGCTAATTATACAGTGCTTTCAAATAAGTTAATATTAGCAGACTCGGAGTTTGCATACACGAATTCGTTGCATTATATGTAAATATTTGCTTCTTTCAAATAAGTGCATATTTAACTTTTTCAAACTACAGCTTTAAGAGATGCATAATTCTTTTTAACATAAATTGTCAGAGGTAACATTTGAAAGTATTGTACATAAGACTATTGTCTTGTAATATAAATATGTATTTGATTTTATTATAAGAACAAAATGTGTTTGTGTCTGATTGTTAATACCACTTTTATAGTGGTAGTTACCTGTAGTGTACCTATAAATTTTGAAATAAAAGATTTTCTTTCTTGTTTCATCAAATTGTTGATGTCTCCACTTAGCAAGTTCCAAAAAGATGTAAGTAATCTTAAATAATTAAAAGAAATATTTAAACATTTTTATATATATAAAATGTTAAATTGGATTATATATTTTTGATGGCTTCGCCAATGGTTTATTTTTATCGTCATTATGAGACACCCTGTATGTTTTATATATTCATTAAATTTTGGGATTTATTTATCATTTTATAGAAATCCTCTATTTGGTTAATTTATGACCTGGTGATAAGAGCTTTATCGCATTTAAATAATAAACAGAATAACAACTTTCATTCCATATAATTTTACACCATAACTACAAAATTAGAATTGAAAATGCGTCGTGCTCAATATTTGTTTAAATTTCAAGAAAAAATTAAAAGTAGTATGTTAGTAGTAATTCCAGTTAAAATTGGACAGCATAGAAAGGTGCAAACTGCTTCTGCAATAAATGAAGAAATCGAATTAAAAAAACTTGACGGCAAAAACAGTGGTATAAACGTTTTGTGCTTAAACCGTCCAAAAGCAAGAAATGCGTTAAGTTTAAGGCTAATTGATAATTTCCAAACAACTCTCAACGATGTAAGTTGTGACCAAAATGCTCGAGTTTTAATTATAAAAAGTTCAGTGCCGCGTATCTTTTGTGCAGGTAAACTATAAATATATATATATCATTTCGGTCAAACACNAGGTCTTTATTTTTTCCCTTTTTAAAAAGTGTTAAAGAAATGTTTAAATTTAAATAATGGAAGAAAAATAATCTGTAGAAATTATAGATTTTTTATCAAAACTAAATAAAATTTTATGCAATATTGAACAACTACCAATTCCTGTTATCGCCGCTTTAGATGGCATTGCCCTGGGTTAGTTAATGTTCTTAATTATTTGCGTAATTTTTCATGTTTTTTAACATCCTTTGAAGGTGGTGGCCTAGAAATGTCGTTATCTTGTGATATTAGAGTGGCCTCAAAGAGTACAAAAATTGGTTTGGTTGAAACCAAACTGGGTATCATTCCGGGGGCAGGGGGTACTCAAAGGCTCTCTAGGATAGTTGGTCCTGCTGTTGCCAAAGAACTTATTTATACAGGAAGGATTGTAGATGGGACACAAGCGTATAATTTAGGTAATTAGTTCGTTGACCAGAGGAACATGTTTCAAATGCTTCATTTTTAGGCATTGTAAATCATATCGTTGATCAAAACGAAAATGAAGATGCCGCGTATCAAAAATCTCTACAAATAGCAAATGAAATTGCCTCTAATGGTCCAATAGCTGTTAAATTGGCAAAACGTGCGATAAATATCGGCTTACAAGTTGACTTGAGTTCAGGTTTGGAAATTGAAAAGGCTCTTTATGCTCAATTGTTACCCACGAAGGATAGGATTGAAGGATACTCCGCATTTTTGGAAAAGAGACAACCGAAATATACTGGGGAATAAAAAATTTTAAATTCGGAATACGTTATTGTTTGTGCGTAAAAATTTTATTTAAACGAAACAAAAGAGTTACTTGAAAATATTTTAAAAGCTAACATGAAGAAACCCAAAAATGTTTTTTATTTTATATTTGGTATAACGGTATCATTTCAAAATTAAAATCTAATAGAAAATAAATCCTCCATTTATTAACTTTTAAAACTGCATTATATACAATAACCAATATAAATTATAATTGCATATTTAATGTTTTATACATATGTAAACACATTATAAACCAAACAACTTTTTAAGTTGTTCTTTTGTATCTTCTGGACTTGTCACTTTGTGTCCAATGGTCCTTATATCATTGAAAATTTCGTAATCATTTCCACCCATGTCAGTCTTATCTCCAAAGAAATGAATTTCATCGAAATTTTCGTTTTCTAAATGCTGCAAACAAAATGTTTTGTCCCAACCATTTGGGAATACATCAAAACTTATTTGTCCACCAATACTATATGTTAAACCAATGTCTGGAAATTCCTTTTTAATAGCTTCAATCATTGTTTTTCGAATACCATGTATTTTATCATATCTCTCAAAGTCGTCCCTCTCTTCTTGCGAACAAGATCGTCCAATAGGGCTTATATTTAACATACCAGCTCGAAATTCAACAAATGTCCCCCTTTTAACCGGTAACGTTATTTCAGATAAGTATCGCAAGACAAAATTTATAAATTTCTGCAACTTTGCTTCACCAATAAATTGTTGAATATTTTGTTTCCCTACTAGCTTGCCATATTTGTACTGCAACAGTCCATTTTCTGGGAAGACGTAATCAAATTTATAAATTACATCATCTCCGTTCATTTGCTCAGCTATCTTTTTAAAGTCGGAACCTCCTACGAGACCCAATTTACAATAGGGTCTTATAGTTTTTAAAAGAAATTCTTCTACACATGGTTCTATTGCTTGCCGTGGCTTTGTTAATGTACCATCAACATCGAACAAACATAAAATATTCTTATTAACCATATTTACTTCCTACAAAAGTTAATAAAATGATAATAAACATTGTATTTTTTTAAAATTCCCTTTCCAAAAAAAGTTAGAAAGTTACTTTCTAAACATTCTCTTTCAAAAAAAGGGTTACAACCTTGTATATATACTTGGAACTTTTTAACAATGTGGGTGAATACTTGTGCGGTTATATCCGTGTTGTTGTGTTTAATTATTCAAGAAAATTGTGCGAAAACTAAAGATAAGAAGAAACTAAACGCCTTACTTATTCTAGGTAAATTTTTAATAAAACAAATCAACTACTTACACGTCACTAAATCGTAATCAACAATCACAAAAAAACTATTTTGTGTTACAAATCAGGTCTAATAAATAGTTTTATTACAATGTGTTTCGACACAAAAGTACTTACTGAATGTTGTAATTTACATTATTAAGTATTCTGAATTGTTTTGCTTTGATATTTTCTTCAAGGCATTGTTGCAATCACAAAATTTGTAGGTTATCTTATCAGTGGTGTAGCCATTGTTAATTTGAAGGGTGTAAATAATATACAAAACAAACAATTGAAATAACGAAATTATTTTTGTACAGTGTACACATATTTTTAAGTATACTGTTTTAGACTAAATTTATTATTTTCCTTTATCATTTTTTTTGTTCATTACAAATTAATAACATACAGCGCAACTTTTCGGGGAAACCCGTACACAAACTTCAAAAGTATTTTAATTTTAAGATAAAAAACTGTAAATCAAGTAACTGTAAAGCAATATTAAATACATTTGTTTACATTTTCATAATTATTAAATTATTCTATTACAGCTGACGA